TGGGATTGGGAATTGGAAAACAAAATAAATAAATAATAAATTAAAAAATTTTATATTTTTAAACGGGTAAACGGGTCAAACCCGTTAACCCGATGGGTCAACCCGTTATTGACCTGTGACCCGCTGGGTTCTCTTAACGGGTCATTAACGGATCACGAGTCATAAATATTTGACCCTAACCCGTTTTAAACGGGCGGGTAATGGGCGGATTAACAGGTTGGGTAAAAAATTGCTCGGTCTACCTGCATGGCGATTTCTTTACATTTAGGCATTGGTGTGGCATGAAAGTCAATTGTTTAACTCTTAAATTTAGGAATTTTGAATTATATATTACAACATTTAAGTGTAAAGAAATTACCACATCAAAATTTGTGCAAAGAAACTGTCACACAAGCAGGAAAAAACAAATAATTATTTAATTTTACATGGCTGCACATGATTTTACCATTAACACAAGAGTTAATTTGCTCAAATCTAGGCATTTAGGGACTTACTTGCCACTATTTTCTTTAATGGCTTATGTGAACAAATGATGGAAATTTAAGAACTTAACATTAGCTTTTGCCATATTTCTAAAGTCTATTGAGTACCGAGACTAGCGAAGATTAAATTTTACAACCAATATGTCAAATTTTCACGTTTCTCAACAATCTGAACACTAATCACCCCATCTCTCAACAATTTGAGCACCATTGCTCTACAACATGCTGACCCAAAGGGGTTTACACGGTATTTCAGCAACTCTCTGTTTCGATAGATTAGCACTGCAGGTTACTATTTTTGTTCTTAATACAGTGGTGGTGGCTCTGTCACCTCATCCACTGCTGCTTCCAACACTGCCGAATCATGGAACTGGTGAACTTCCTTCAGCAGTAGTCGACCTTTCTAACTCCGGCTTTGCTGCCCCAAGTCGTTCCTACTCTCAAGACTCATCACCTGAAGCCTACCTACGTATCCACAACAACTATCGAGCAGCGGTTGGAGTTAGACCGATGACTTGGGACAAGAAGGTGGCGGCCTATGCACAAAACTACGCCAATCAAAGGATCAGAGACTGCGAGCTTGTGTATTCGAATGGGCCTTATGGCGAGAACATTGCACGGAGCAGCGGCAACCTGTCGGGAACAGAAGCAGTGACGATGTGGGTTAAATCAAACAATACCTGCGCTGCGGGAAAGGTATGCGGTGAATACACTCAGATCATCACGGGGAGATCGATCGGGCTTGGATGTGCAAAGGTACTATGCGACAATGGTGGGACTTTCATCGTCTGTAACTATGACCCACCAGGAAACTACATTGGCAGACGCCTTCTAGGAAGGAATCAATTAATTAATTCGTCTTCAATGTCACCAGGCCTTGGTGCAGCCGCTCCAACCATAAGCGGCCTCGGCCCGGGGAGAGTAATTGATCCATCAACGATCTATCCGAGGATAAAGGACAATCAATCATCCCCGGTTGCGAGCCCGCCGAGCTCCGCTATTGCAGACCCACCAATAGCCCAATCATCTCCGGTTGCGATCCGGTCGAGCTCCGCTATGGCAGACCCACCAATAGCCCGTACGATGATCAATGGTCTTCCCCTTCAACGAAGGAAGAAGAGCACTGGAATACTAGTTGGATCAATTGTTGGGGTATGTGCTTTGTTCTCTAGCTTAGGTTGCATTCTGTTCTTTTTTTGGCGAAAGAGGAAAGAAAGAGCAATAAATGAACGTGCCTTTAAGATGTCCTTTGGTGATGAATTTGGGAATGGTACGGTGCCTAGGGAGTTCTCCTATAAGGAATTGTCTAAAGCAACCAAGAATTTTGCAGAAGAAGAGAAGCTAGGTGAGGGTGGATTTGGATATGTATATAAAGGTTTCTTGAGGGATTCAAATGCAGATGTTGCAGTTAAAAGAATCTCACGAAAATCTAAACAAGGGATCAAGGAGTACACTTCCGAAGTGAAGATCATTAGCCGTTTGAGGCATAAGAATTTAGTGAAGCTTATAGGTTGGTGCCATGA